CACACACACACACACAATCTCTTCATATTTATCCATTTCTTTTCCTAATCATTTGTCTCTGAAAGCAGCATTTTCTTCCATCCCTAAAAGCACCAACACCAACAGTGATTCTCTCAACCCTGATCCTTCTCTTTACAGTCATGAGTCTATCCAATCAGATCTTCAACAATCCCCTCTCCAATGGTGCTTTCTTCCATACACCCACAAGTACTATCCTTCAACCTTCCTACTTCAACATGGTCCCATTTAGTCTCCTGGGTACTATGGCCATCTCTTCAAACTCAACTTGTCCCAAATCAAATTTGCTATCCTCTCTGCTGCCCATCCTAAGCTAGGGCTGCAATACAACTCTTCTGGTTTACCACTTCTGCTTTCCCAGACACTGTGGTTCAAGCTCTTCTGTCAGCTTTGAGGCATCATGAATGTTCTCCTCCTAATTGTCTGAGCCTCTTTTCCCTGGAACTCTCTTGGTCACTTGATCACCAAGATCTCATGCAGATTCACAAATAGATGTAGAGATGCTGGCACTGACCATCTAATCAAAAAAAATCTCCCTTCCAAGTCACCCTCTAGCTCAAATCCAACATCATTTTGTTCTTCGTATTCTCTGGAGTTCATATTTTCTGACTTATTTGTTGTATGAATCACACACTATCAGATGCTTAAAAGCAGTCCTTAACTGTCTGGCATAAATTCATGCTCAACAAACATCTTAGAATGAATGGCTTTCCTGCACTTCTCCTTCCTCCATGCAACCGCCGCTTCTCAGCACAGCCTGAGCAAGAAAAATTCAGCACGATCATCAGCCTCGACCTAGCTTCCCAGCAATCCTCTGTGCTCCCTTCCCTTGCCTTCACTGTTGTTTCATGCTTTACCTGATACATAACCATCCTACATCACACTCCTGCCTTGTCCATTCTTCAAAATGCTTCAGTAACTATCCATTGGCTGCAAAGCTTGGACTAAGAGTCATATCCAAGCATTCCATCTTCTCTCGTGCCACCTGCCTTTTAAATTAGATTCCCTTACAAAGTTGTTATGGAATAATTAGACACACGGGACTAAAGAAAGTCCTTATATCTCCTCCCTCAACCCCCCCCATAATAACAATTTACACAACACTTGTGCATTATCAAAAGAAGAAAACTGATATAACCCACACAGCAAGTCTAGATTTCACCAATTACGCAAATGCTCACTATGGATGTCTACTCACACATGTCACATGTGCAGTTTGACACAGTTTTGTCACATATTTGGCACTGGGTAACTACCACCATGATCATGACACTCAACTGTAACCTTACCACAAAATTCCCTCTGTTGCCCTTTCATATAGCCCTACCCCCTCCCATCCTTCCCTTTGGCAAACCACAGCCTGTTCTTCATCTCTTTGTTCTAGCACAATTATTATGTATATGGAATTCTTTATTGATGAAAAGTATTCCATACTATGGGTGTGCCATCATTTAGCCATTCATTCATTGAAGGACATACTGACAGTTTACAGTTTTTATTACCAATAAAGCCACCATGAATATTTGTAATCAAAAAGGCCTTAATTTAAAAAAATTTAAACCTTAAAAATACACAATTGTTGACCACTCCATTGTAGCCTCCAACCTCCTAAATTCCATTCCTGCTCCCAATACTCTAATCAAATGAACTTACTTATACTATTTTTGCTTTTATCATTTATAATCCTGTTGTCATTATGGTAAATTTATTTTAAAATCCTTCCTTGAGTCACTTTTAGAAAGTGGATAAAGAAATAAATAAATACAGAAAAGAATAGGCAATGAGAGGAGGAAAGTAAATAAAAGATGTGGTCTGTTAACTTTGTTGCAATAAGATGTTATCTCTCTTTCCTTTAAACTCACATCTTATTTACTACACTCCTCTAACGAAACCCGTTTCTGCCACAATCCTAAGAATGCATCCTTGCCTCATATTTCCACTAAAATAGTAAACTCCCTGGAAGCAGATGTTCTGACTTCTTAGAAATTGGAGATCCACTGTGTACCAAATACAAATGTTCCACAACCTTCAGTAGAGTTATGTTCCAATTGGTCCATCATAATGCTGACAATAAAATAATTTATTTTAATACACCTAGCTTACTAGGAGATGTACAAATTACCTATAGTCATGGTGGGAATCAAAGGCAACACATACACACACACACACACACACACACACACACACACACACACACAATACCATGGGTATGAAATAAACAAATAAGGGGAAGGGGGAGGGAAAACATTCTAGCTGAAGAGTCTCTAATACAAAAAAAACCCTGATACTGACTTCCTAACAAAATTAACTTTATCCTCGTACTTTACAATATTCCTGTAATAACCATGTTAACTTTCCACCATGAAAAGACAAACTATAACATGGCAACCTTGCAGCTTTATTTTGTTGATACCTGTTGTATTTTGTAATCAGTAAGCCACTCCTGAATATGGAGTGCCTTGCAGAACTCTATTAACTATTTTCCTTTTCTTAGAGATTCTGTGACTGTAAGTCTTCCTTTCACAGCATCCTCAACCACAAAATGATGTCTAATTTTTCACTACTATAAATCACACTGCAGTAAACAACTTGTAAAATGCCTTCATGTGCATTTGGTGACAATTCCTCAAACAGATATCCAAAAAAGGACTTGTGAGGACAAATGATATACACATTTTTAACATACTCTGCCAAATTTAATCCCAAAGAGCTGAACCAATTTAGACTCCTCATAATAACATGAGAATTCTTGATTTCCCACACATCAATAACACACAATATTGTTGCTCTGTTTTGTAAGTCTTAAGGGAAAAAAGTATTTGTTCAACTATACTTTTCTAATTACTATCTGAATTGAAAATAACATAATAATGTGTTAATTGGTCATTTGTATCAGTTATTCTTCTCAAGTGTTAGTCCTTATCTTCTGCTCATTTTCATTCTCTTCTGGTTTACAGTTCTTTATATACACTGGATTTTAACCTTTTATTATAATGCTATTACTCTTTTTTTACAATCTACTAGTTACTTTGTTTATGGTGTCATTTGTTTTACAAAGAATTTATATCAAATTTATCAACCACCTCTTTAGAGTTCTAGGGTGTGTCTTATTTCAAAATACCTCCCCATGCAAAATTACAAATACATCATTTTCTAATATTTTCAGATTTTATAATTATATATTTAACCATATGGAATTTATTTCTATATATGGAATGTGGTAGGACTCTACTAAAGGAACAGTCAATTGTTACAGCACTATATATAGAATGATCTCTTTCACTCTCTAATTTGAAATGTTATCTTTATCGTGTTATCATAAAATCATAGCTGCTTTCAGACATTTTTTATTTTCTACAGATTTATCCATTTCTATGCTGATACTATAAAGTTTAAATGACCAAAGCTCTCTAGTCAGTTTTATTGGTAAACCATCCTACCCTATTGTATCTTTTTTCTGAAGTTAATTATTCTCATAAATCCTTCCTAGACAAATTTTCAAAACAATTTATTGAACTCTATTTTAAAATACTATGACAACTTTTTATTAGAATTCCTTTAAATTTCCAGTGGTTTTTAAGAAATAGATTATCCAATATATAGTTCTATAACAATTGGATATCCTTTTAGTAAAATAAATAGGAGTCCTATTTATTCCACATATAGAAACAAATTCCATATGGATAGATATAATAAACAAATCCCAGAATATTAGAAAACAATGTATTTGAAATTTCATGTGGGAAAGCCTTTTTAAGCAAGGCATATGCCTAGAACTCTAAAGAAATGGTTGATAAATTTGACATACATGCTTTGTACAATGTTTTCAAAATTAACATGTATATTATTCACCAAGTAGCTGTGATGAGCTTAGTGGTAATGGGAAATCCAAAGGATTCTAGACAGTACTATCCATCAAAAATGTATGACATCATTGAGGGAAAAGATATAGACACCCATTGCATGAAATGACAAATACCAAATTTTAGCTCACTCAAGACAATTACATTTACTTTGAGACTGATTTCTGCCTCACTCTTTTTTTTTTTTTGTTTCTTCTTTTGGCCTGTCATCATCATCATCATCATCATCATCATCATCATCACCATCGTTTAATAAATGTCCATGAACTGAATGGTTGTATTTATAATCAGTGGGTGTTAGTCTCCCCAAGTTAATTCCAATATCATCGCTTATAGATAAGGAAACTGAAACTTAAGGAAGTAAATTTTCCAAAATCACAGAAAGAGGTACAGGCAGCTAGGATTTGAAACCAGATTTCTCATCTCCTGTCACCAGTATCTCTTCCCTTCCCCCCTTTAAATTTCTGCTATTTTGTCAAATGTAATATTTTTCTCTGAAATAAGAATAGAAAATAAATAGCATTCAGCTTTGTTTATTGTCCTTCCTCTCTACAGGCAGATTCCAGAAAAAAAAATCATAAAATGCATCTGTGTTGAATGAGGGAATGCCCCCTACCACTCCCCCACCCTCCAGACTCAACCTACCAGCTCTTTCCTTTACCTCAGTGGTTCTCAACCTTCCTAATGCTGTGACCCTTTAATACAGTTCCTCCTTTGTAGTGACCCCCCCACCATAAAATTATTTTCGTAGCTACTTCATAACTGTAATTTTGATACTGTTATGAATTATAACATAAATGCTTTGTGCTTTCTGATGGTCTTAGATGACCCCTGTGAAAGGGTGGGGAACCTTTCCTTAAACTAATTCCAGAGCCTACTATATAATCTACAGGATCCTGTGATCAGCGGAAATGTATGGCTCTCGGTCCAAGTCTTTAGAATTTCAAAATATGACAAAAGAACAAAGTTGGATGCCCTTCTAAGCAAGGGTTGAACCCTCTTCAGGCCACAAATCAGACCCTTGCTAAGAGTCTGTCTTCTTTCTAACATCTGTCCCTGGCTTTGCAGACCCTTGCTAAGAGTCTGTCTTCTTTCTAACATCTGTCCCTGGCTTTGCAGAATCACAGCCCTGCTCCGATGAAGAAGGCTGCTCAGAAGTCTTCCTCCCCACTGACAGTGACTATGACTCCAGTGATGCCCTGAGCCCACGAGACCTGGACCTGGTTTACCTGTCATCACATGACATCGCCCAGCAGGCCCTCAGCGGCTTGAGTGGCAGTGCCCCAGATGTCCTACAGGTGCATGACATGAAGGCCTCCATGGGGCCTGGCCAGGACCCTCAAGGCCCAGTGCAGGGCCCAGACACCGACCACTCATGTGCAGAGTTTCTCCATAGCCTGACCCTCACAGGCTTGACAGCCAAGAACCACTCCAAGATGGTGCCAGGCACGCGGCCACCTCTAGGCTTCCTGGGAAAGCGGAAGCCAGGCAAGCATCAGCACTATGGTGGCTTTAGCCGCCACCACCGCTGGCTGCGCATGCACAGCGAGACTCAGTCACTGTCGCTCTCGGAAGGCGTTTATACACAGCACCAGTCTAGGGCCTGTGGCCTGGCTCAAAATCCTGGGGAAGCAGAGGGGCCTGGACCTGTGGTGGATGGGCCCCGGGGCATGCCTCTGGCCCACGCGGCCAGCCTCCCAGAGGAACGCAGGAGCTGCCTCCAGGACCCAAGGCGTTCTATGCACAGAGTCTATGTGGAGTCCTACCCCAACACACTGGTGGGCCAGGACACAAAACTGTGGACCGGTTTGAGCCCTACCCCAGCAGGCCGAAGCAGCCTGCCAAGCTCCACTAGTTCAGAGATGAGTCCAGACCCCACATCCCCGGTTTCAGAAATACTGAGTAGTATGCTTTAGGTTGGCTCTTGTTGTCTATCTATTGTGCTCCCGACCCTCCACCCCATCCCCCCCCACCTTATCCCCGGTTATATTCCTTGCATTTCCATCACCATATCCTGCCCCATTGTGTCCCCCATCTAATTCAAAATTCTTGAAAGCTAGAAATTCAAAGGTTACATGTACAAGGCTCTCTTTTATTCCCAAGTGGGGCACAGGATAGGGGAGTGGGGGAGGCTAAAGTTGTCACTACCATTTCCTCCTCACCCTAGAAAACATATGGTATCTGAGAGCCAGGATGCAAATATATAACTCTTTTGGTGGCACCCGTGGCTGCGATAGGCCAGCTCAGGGAGGACACTTAATTCTGTAACTGTCTCCTTAATCTCAACCCTGGGCTTGGAGTTCTTTTGCGTGTTTGTGGTTAAGGAAGAAGTACAGTCAGTGAGAATAAGAATGGCTTAGCTTTTCCTGCAAATTCAAACTTTCAAAAAAGTTTGGTGTAAAGAAACCCATGTTATGTCTAGAGAGCAAGGGGTCAAGTAGACTTGTGCTGGGTTTTCTCTCAACTAACAGGACTTCTAAAGTACAGGGTTCTCAGGACTCCCCAAGCCCCATTTATCCATCAACATTCACATGGTTAAGTGGGCCTTGGATAGACCTTTTCTTCACTTGGTGTTATGTGGAGAACACCAGAAACCAAAGTAGAGGACACTTCTTTTCTAGCCCTGTTTTGCAAGATAAAATAGGGCAGGGAGCAGCCCTTCTGGCACGCTCAGATCCCATCCAGTCGTGACAATGAACAGTAAATTATTCCAGAGATGACTGAGTTAAGTGAAAGCCTGAATTATAGCAATGGAAGGGGAAAGAGAGAAGAACTAAAATCCTTCTCCTTTACAATAAATCAAATGGGTCCATGCTGACTGAATATACCATTTAGAATGCCAGTGGGTCTGCCCCATATTTTTCTGAGGAAGAATGTGTCCCAAATATGGTCAGGTAGTGGTAGGTTCCTCTAAGTACCACAGGCTCATCCGTCACCACCACATAACTGGTCAAGACTGTTTAGGGCTAGGGTGACTACCCTCCACTTTCACCCTGCTCTTTACAACATGGGTTCCCCTCACGCCCCTCTCCCAAGGTCATCTGGCACCAGGCTACATGGGAAATCTTTCCTTAGTAGCCTCTGCTGGTAGTTTATGCCAAGCATGTGCACAATAACACCGGAAACGCTGCTTTAGTCACACTGTCTCCTACCTGAAATTCTCATAGGTGAGAAGCTCAAAAAGAAACCACACTGCATATTCAAGAAAGGCGCAGTTCTCCTAGGGCCAAGACCCGTTCAGTTCACCAGTATTTTAAATGGTCCTTTTTCTACATAACAGGCCTCTCAGTTAACTAGTGTTCTTTGTTATCCTGTTCCTGTCCTCAGCCCTTACTCCTCCAGAAAGTTCATACAAACCACATGTTTACCATGTTGTTCTGATTCTCTCTGTTTAAAAAAAAAGATTTAAATATAACTACCCCATTCAAAAGGCATAGCTTGGGCCAGTGACCTGTGGTCATTAGAAAACTATAACCATGATCTCAGTCTTTTTTTTTTAAATAGATTTTATGCTCAGTGAACCCACAAAGAATCTTGATTAAAATGTCTGCTGGGCATAGTGACACCCACCTTTAAACCCAGCACTTGGAAGGCAGAAGCAGGTGGATCTCTGTGAGTTCGAGGCCAGTCTGGTCTACAGAGCAAGTTCCAGGACAGTCAGGGCTGTTACACAGAGAAACTGTCTCAGAAAATAAAATAAATAAAATAGATAAATACATAATAAAATGTCTAGAGTTTCTCTGCCATATCCCAGTGACTTATGTATATGGATGGAATGAGGCTTTGTATCTTAAGACCTCGGCCTTACAAGTAGGCCAGCTAAGACTCAAGAGGTTAAATAATTTACTGAAGGTTGCAAGAACTGACTTCATGTCAGAATTAAAACTTAGAAACGCCTCCTTTTCAAATTGCTGCAAACTTTGTCAACTAGTGCTTGTCTAGTATGCTTTCTTTATTCCATAAAATCCATCTACTTCTTATTCCAGATTTGAATATGTGTTCAACCCTTACCTAACAAGTGTCCAACATCACAAAGCTCTTTATTGCTAGGGAACACAAATCTTATCAACAGACATATAAGATAAGTCAACTAATTAAAAAGCAAGTTTAGGGGAAATGTCCATTCAAATTGTAGCCCCTCGTTAATAATAGGAATAACAGAGTTGTCTGCACTTGGTTTTCACTTACTTCTCATCAGAAGAGAAATTGTTCAGCCTGAAGGCACTTGTAAGATGAGCTGTTAGAAGTGTCAAGGACAGAGAAGTCAAGCGATGCTGATCCTGGCATACGGGGTCTGAAATAGAGGGAGGATCTTCAACTAGGAGTAAGAACAGAGACTTACCCGCTCTGCTAGTCTTTCATTTAGCAAGTTCTGGCTTACTAAACCCAAATGCATTAAAGTAAGACCTACTCATTTATATTGACATTACTTGGTTCTATTTTCCATGAGAAAGAGAGGCGTGTCCATAGGATGGATAACGTGCAATAGATCTCAATAGACATGCTTAATTCAACTGAAAACGTATTTCGCCAGCAACATTCCCACATAAAACGTTTATGCTATAGCCCCAATAACCACCTACTTGTTCAAATAATCAGGTTCATCCTACCCCACTTTGAAAAACTTATGGACCCAGTTGAAATTAATATGTTGTGGGAAAAATGACTGTTCTCTAATTCAGTTTTATATCCATTAAATTTGATGACATACACATCAGGAACATAGACTATCTATGATATCTTGTTTTATTTTATTGCCTTTCTTTTATTTTGTATATAATGAATGTACTTCTGTTCTTTTCAAATACAGTCTAAGAGACTTTTGAGGAAACTTCCCTATCCCAAGTCTCTTTCCCAGTTTTTCCTATCCTTTGTGAAGATTCCTAAAAGTCAAAAATGTGGCCCTCCCATGAATTTTTATGTTCTAAGAAGGACAGAGAGAACCAAAAAATCAATAGCAAAAACATATTCCTAGACCACAGAGAGCTCACAATCTAATAATGTAGCCACACACTAACCATACATCATCTCATGAATATATTGAAGAGGCAGCAGCCTGTTGTAGATAGACAGGCATCACATGCCTGGCTAGAGATCTCTAGCTGCACTCCCGCTGTCTATTCATGAGAGAGTACATCTTAGAAAATGAAGCTCATTTTGTGAAAATGTAAATGCAACCACTTACAAAGCAAGGCTGTCACATCCTCTAACTGGTGAGGGTACCCGGGGCACAGTAATTAAAACCATTAACTCCAGGGAAGGGGTATTTTGAGAAGTGGGTACTTAAAGATGAGCTCCGTTGGGTTCTAAGAACATTCACTAATGCTCAAAGCAATAATTATACTGAAGAAAATCGTTCCATTTGGTTCAAAACCTGAAGCCAGTTACAAATAATATCCTGCCAGCCCCCCTTTCCTGAAGGATCCCAAAGCACTTTATGAACAGCAATGACTGAAGCCTTGTTGTATTCCCCTAAAGAGACCTTGTCTGGGAGCCACCTGGCTAACACCTACCCCATCCTTGCCAGGAGATCATGCCAGACAAGTGGGAAAAGAGACTGACCTCATTCATTGTTATTCTGACATACAAACGTGTACCCTGAAGAAGGTGAGCTCTCCCCTCTCCCAGAAGACAACTTTTGGACCATAAAGTGGAGCAGAAAACCCAACTCCTTGGCATCTTCCTGCTCTGCTCTCTACCCAAGATGTATTTGTGGTCCCAGAAAACTGTTACTTCAGGCTGTCAAGGGTCTGGCGCATTTCAGAACCGTGATCCTGACACTAGCACAGGGAAGTCACTAATTTCAGAAAATGTCTACAGGAGTGAGAGGACACTAGAATCTATAATTTCTTAGTTTACTAAGTAGGAGCTGCACCTAGCAGTGTGCATCTTTATGTATCTGCTTATTAAACTATAAAATACCAATTACAGGGGGTAGTTGTGGATTAATGAGAACATCTTAGCAAATGTATCATTTCATAAAGTCTAGTTTTCCAGATGATTCATTGAAGCTTCCTTGTATACCTTTTAAGAACCATGTAAGGAGAAAAACTAGTTGGAAAGCAATGGTGTCTCTTCATAAGTAGTTTGGTAGATATGAAAAAAAATATCTTTGCTGATCACTTCTTATAAGATGCCCAAACACATGGCTCATGACTGTTAAGCTAAACTTCCATGCAGCCTTACAAACAACAAGAGTAGTGTATAAAACGATGTTGTATAGCTTGGAAACTTATTCTAAGATCTTCATTCAGAGTTTTTCTGAGGTGTTGGACTTTGCCATTAGCAAAAAGTATTTTTAGAGAAAAATCCATTGACTGTTTATGAAGCACTGATTTTTGCCATATTTCAGGTCTCTGGTTTTTCCACAGAATCTGCACACAGTAGTTACATTTGTGTTTCAGCTGTATCTTCTGCTTTTATTGGTGGATGAATTTGTCCAATGGTTATTCATCAGGATAATTGGTTTACCCCGCAAATAAATGAATAAGCAGATTAAAAAAAAAGACAAAGTTCTATCTTGATAAAGGAAGTAGAAGTTTTGTTACTGTTGTTGTTGTTTTAAATATCACCCTGAGGTCTTTTTTTCCTAATTGTAAACAAAAGCCAATGTTTAACTTAGTGGCAAGAGTTATGAAGCTGCCAGTTAATGCTCTTTGCCCCTCTTCTTTCAATCCATATGAAAGTCTGATTAGATCCCTATAGTAACCATTACTGAACAACTAATTGACAAAGCCAAGTCTGGCAGCATAGTGTCATCTGAGTTTCCGTGTTGTTTCTTGCCTTGTGACAAATCAGATGTGTGGGGATAGTTCATGCACATCATCCAGAAGTATTCTTGATGTTTATAATGGAAAAAGGATTAAAGTGTGTGTGTGTGTGTGTGTGTGTGTGTGTGTGTGTGTTATAATGTATGTGGTGTTTCATAGAAACAGTAATTGACATTCTATTAGGCAGTGTTTGATTGCTTCCTGCCTGATGTAAGGATTAAAGTGTGTGTGTGTGTGTGTTTGTGTGTGTGTGTTTGTGTGTGTGTGTTTGTGTGTGTGTGTTTGTGTGTTATAATGTATGTGGTGTTTCATAGAAACAGTAGTTGACATTCTATTAGGCAGTGTTTGATTGCTTCCTGCCTGATGTATACATACTGATCAGCAGATTATTGGTTCAAAACTTATTGTATCCTGTTCCTCTGTATAAAACTGAGTATATGTTAAAATTTAGGCTTCAGTACATTCTCAGCACAACTTTGTGTGCTTTATACTTCTGTAAATATACAAATGAATCCTGTGTGGCATGCTCAATGTGACCTCTAATCTCAAAACAATAATATTTTGTAGTATGTACATTTGGAAACCATTTGAATCTTTCAAATGGATATTGTGAATGGCCAGCACACTCAGTCAAACACAGCTCTGGTGAAACACATGCCTCTTCAGGAAGAAGTCAGCAATTAACAAGAATTAAGATAATTTTTAATGGCAAGTATTTTTGATAAATTCCTACCTGCTTCACTGTATTTTCAAGGAAAAATGTCAACATAAGAAATCGTAGCTGTCTGAGGGAATGGATTTATTTCATATGTGTTAAATGTACTTGATGTCTTACCACAATATTGTTGAGATCTATGTCAAGCATAAAGAACTCAAAAGCATTTTCCATTCTTTACATGATCTTTTTTTTTCATGTTTTAAGGGCAGCTTGTGAACTCTTTGTCTTTAGTGTGAAGAAATGTCCATCAATAATAAACTAATAGAATTCTCAGTAGTTGGCTTACCTAATGCTTTGCCATGGCTTTCATTGAAGACCCCTCCCCTCCAGAAAAAAAGAAAAAGTCTTCAATCTGATGTGTTAAAATCTTCTCACTAAAAATTTAGAAGCTATTATTTTGGATATTATTTTGCCAAATGTCAGCAACAGCACCCAACTGGCTCTAGATTAATTGATAGCATCGGGACATTTCTATTACCTAATTTATTACTGCCAAGTATTGAAAATACAGCATCAAATTACTATGGTAAATACTCCCATTAGGATGCAGCTTGGCTGTGGGAACCTCTTTGCTTCCTCTTCTCTATGCATGTTTAAACATCCCCAGGGTATTCTGCATAACTGCTCTATCTCTGATGCTCTATCTGTCCCTTCTATCTCCATCCCTGCAAGCCTCCCCACCCCCAATGCCTTCTGGCTGAGATTTGACATTTCTGCCATATTTAAATGCCTATATCGATTATTTCAATCCTAAGAACCTGCACAAAAGTTCTCCTGAATCTCCAAGAAATGGAAACTTACTGCTTTGAATCATATTTTGTTTTAGGCTGCTTTACTGAAATCTTTTCAACACATATGTATATGTGTGTATATGCACATGCACACACACACACACATACATACACACACACACACACACACACACACACCTACCTTTTAGTGGCATGTTTGTGGTGGAGCTTTCCTAAAAGCCTCAAAAGGCTGGTTTTGTTATTCTGGCTAAATGTGCTGTTTTCCCTGTATAAATTGTCATCTAAGTAAACCACTAATTTGTTTTCTTAATTCTGCCTTTAAATAAAAGTTTGCCTTCTTTTTCAAACCATATAGATGACACTGCTCTTTAATATACCCTTTCTTCTGTGCCCAATCTTTTTTTTATTTTAAATAGCTTGTTTTACATGTCAATCCCAGTTCCCTCTCCCTCCCCTCCTCTGGCACTCTCCCCACTATCTCCCCCCCAGCCTCCCACCCTATCACCATTTCCTTACACATAGGGGATATCTAGAGTCTGTCATTTCACTCAGGGTAGGGTCCAGGCACTTCCCTAAGAGTCCAGGCTGAGAGAGCATCCCTCTTTGTGTTATGGACACACGATGTCTGTTTGTATGCCAGGGATAAACACTGATCCACTGCCCAGGGCCCCATAGGTTGCCCAGGCCTCTTCACTGACTCTCACATTCAGGGGGTCTGGATCAGTCCCATGCTGGCATCCCAGCTGTCGGTCTGGGGTCCAAGAGCTCTGTCCTGTTCAGATCAGCTGTCTCTGCTGATTTTGCCAGCCCGTTCTTTGCCAATTTGCTCATCGCTCCTCTCTCTCTGTCACTGGGTTCCATGGGTTCAGTTCAGTGTTTAACTGTGGGTGTTTGCCTCTTCTTCCATCAGTCACTGGATGAAGGCTCCAGGACGGTTATGGACATCAAGTTCATTATCAGGAATGGGCATTCGAGGTGGTCTCTCCACTATTGTTTAGCTTGTCAGTTGGTGTCATCCCTTTAGATCACTAGAGGTCACACTGGTGCCTGATCTGTCTTCTAACCTATGATTCCCTCTTCCTCCTATTCTACCCAGTCTTGAGGGGATACTATGGGGAGGGATAGGCTAGGAAAAAAGGGTAAGAGGATGCCTTCCAAATTTTACTGGCTAAGTAAGAAACGTGCTTCCATTAAATGTTTAGCCCTTTTGATAATATTGTGCTAATTTAGTAGTTAGCATTTGCACCCGCCAACAGGAAATAATTCACTCTTCTCTATAATTAAAAAAAATTCTTAAGAATTAGGCAAGTTAAAACTGAATGCTAGTTATCTATTTACGGGGACTATCAAGACAAAGAGAAAAAATTCTAAGTTATCTTGCCCATTGTGGTAATTTGAAAGAAAATGGCCTCCAAAGGGAGTGACACTATTGGGAGGTGTGGCTTTGCTGGAGTAAGTATGACTTTGTTGGAGTAAGTGTGTCACTATGGAGGCAGGCTTTGAGGTCTCATATATGCTCAAGACACCACCCAATGTCTCAGTTTACTTCCTGCTGCCTGAAAGATGTAGAACCCTCAGCTACCTCTCCAGCACTATGTCTATCTACATGCCAACATGCCATGATGATAATGGACTAAACCTCTGAAAATGTAAGCCACCCCCCATTAAATATTTTCCTTTATAAGAGTTGCTATGATTATGTTGTCTCCTCACAGCAACAGAAACCCTAACTAAGACTCCCACATTATGATGATGTCAAGGAAGTTAGAACTTTTCAACAATTTTGTTTTTTTTATTTAGAAAATGCATTCTGCATTCATCTTCAAGAAGTATATGGCATCCTTACCTTATAGTGGCCTGTCTTGTTACCCAATGCATTCAGTCATTTTGCCAGACAAGATACTGGTGTTAGAGGGATGGAGGTACCAAGTGGGTACCATGTTAGGTCAGAGACTCTTAGTCAAATGTGAGTGCCTCATCATTACCTCCCCAATCACACATCACAGCTCCTGCCACTAATACCTACTAAATGGTATTAGACACTGACAACCACAAGAAGTTAGAGAGAGAGAGAGAGAACACTTTAAAATCAAGTTAACTTATCTGCAGAGAATAAATTCAGGGCCTTTCCAAATGCAAAAAGGCTTGAGCTCACAAAAATGGCTCTGATGAAGTTCAGTTCATCTCCTCAGGGTGCCTTGAAATTACTTCTTTAGTATTGCTTTAAAAAGTCCCACAGTGCATCCCACACATATCCAGAACATTGTGATTGGTGTAGGCCCCCTGGGAAGTAGAACAGGACCCTGTGATTGGAGTGTGTAGGCTCTTGCTCCTCAGAAATTATTCAAGTGTCACCATGGTTTGAGATGGCACATCGCCTACACCAACTAACTCTCTGAGGTCGGAGAAGGCCTGAAAGCCTTTTTCAAGTCTTGAGAACTACAATCTCTGACACATTCATAAAATACCCTTCAAAATGTCATCACATTAGAGCTGGTCATACAGCTCTGGAAGATGACCAAGATGAAGTGTGTGTGTGTGTGTGTGTGTGTGTGTGTGTTGTACACTTCTAGAAACCAGAAGACAACCTTAGGTGTCACTTCTTCTGTCTTTTTTTTTAAGTCAAGGTCTCCCATTAGCCTGGAACTTTGCCAAGTAAGTTAGGCTAGCTGCCCCTGTTTCTACCTCTGACCTCACCATCACTGGGATTGCAAGTACTTGCCACCATGCCTGGCTTTTTTATGTGGCTTCTTGGCGTCCCCATTCAGGTCCTCATACTGGAAAGGCAAGTTATTTACTAACTGAGTCTCCTCATCAGCCCCATGACAAGAATTTTTATCCTCATTTCATAAATAAAAAGAGTAGGGCACAGAGAGTAAAACCCACACCCTCTAGCTTTACAGTGTACCAAACATGCATACACACATACACATACATCACATGTGCACGAGCACACATATGAGTACACATACACACACACACACTCATATGCACACCATGATCAGAGATGAAAGGAGCTGGACAACACAGCACATAGACTTCCTCTTTCCAACAACACCCAGAGAACCACAAATCAAGGCTTTCTGTCGCCGCCATAAGAGACACACTCCTCCTCTCTGGACTCACAGCTGAAAATGCTTAGGAAATATGGGAGCTCTTTCTCAGCTCTGAAAGTCCATGACTTAAAAATGTTCACGTTGAGTAACCATCAAGGTTGAGCAAAGGTTCTCAGACTCTTTCTATTTTGATTACACTTTTCGGGCCACTGTTCTGGGTAGGAAAGCACGTTTTAGAAGGTGAGGGAGTGGCACTGAGTCTACCATAGACAGAGAGAGGAAAAAAAAAAAAGAAGCCGTGGGAAACCCATGCTGGGCATCCTGAGAGCCTTCTCCACTTCCATAAAGTGTTCTTTGTTGTGGAAGGACTTAAGTCAGTGCTCTGCCTGTGGCCCTGGGCTCTCTCAGAAGACAATTCCACCTGTTTCAATTTCCCGGGCCCTGCCACTGTGCAGTCATAGTAGGTGTGGTCTAGAATATCTCTTGGACCTTCCCTGACATCTAACTTGGCACCAGTACTCCCCGCCAGCTGTTCTCTTAGATCTTGCCTGATCATTGCTATAAGATCCCTTCCCTGGAGTGTCCCAGCAAGGGTCAAAGCATTGCCCAACTCCAGGGGGCACTATTATTAAGTGTGGAATGTGTTCCCATTAGCCACTTCCCAGAAGCCAGTCATGAAGCAAGCAGGCCCCTTTGCCAGACAGCAAGGCTGGAGTAGGCATCTCCTTTGAGGTGGAAGGGAAGGCTAGAGGCAGTCATGGGACACGGCACATGCTCTCTGTAGGGCATTTGTCATCTCACAGTAGGACCACTTTGAGATGCAGTGTTGGACATACATCTGACTCTCCCAAGTTTGAACCAACTTGAGCACCCGCTTAGATCTTGCTTGGCCTCTTCCAACTTGGCTGAAGCCCAATGCCAGGCATTGTTCTCTCTCTGACCCCAACTGAGTGTGTGAAGTCAGAACGGCATCATTTTCTGACAAACATTTAGCCCATTTCCTCGGCTCCCGGGAGGCCTGATATTGAAATGTTTCCTTCCCCATGGTTATATTTTCCTTGGTTGAAAAAGTTTTGTTTTGGAAGTTGCTACCCTGTCGAGGTAGTGAGTCAGTATGGGAGGTCAGTAGAGAGGGGAAAATGCACATCACTGGCAGAGGCCAGAAGGATGGGGGTGAGAGGAGATGGGAGATGCTGGGTGGGAGAAAAAGGACCGCACCCTCTGCACCCTTCCACCCTTTCAGGAAGAACACAGTCCTTTCAAACCAGCTGAGGGCTTCTTCACCCAGGCCAGGAGCCAAGCCTAGCTGCCTCCTAAGAGCTTGTTCATGGAAAAGGATAGGATAGGTAGGTGGCAAAGGAGCCAATGACATATGGGGTATCTTCTGGGTTCCACTCAATCTTCCATTTTCCACTTTCTGGGACAGTGGGTAGCATTGCCCATGATTTATAAACTGAGGCCTGAGCAGGGAAATCTCGTACCCGACATCACACAACAAGTGAGAGAGAAAAAGTTCAATGCAGAAGACTAGCGCCTGCTCTTTTGTGGGGTCTCTCTACAGGATTCATTCCTTCCCAGAGAAGCAGACTCAGGAGGCTTGGCTTGTGAAAGACACGAAGAGCTACTAGAAGGGAAACCATGTGAGGACGGGCAGGGGAGGCATTGGCACTGGAAAAGAGCCTTATGGACTTCAGACACTCCTTCCCTCTGTTCTCACGCTCTCGCATTTTACCACTCCATCCACACGCTTCTTCACAAGGAGGAAAAATGCCAGAAAGATACAGACACAGAGAATCCCTGTTCACACATGCGACACACACACTATACACACACATACACAACACACACACAACGCACACTACACACACTATATACACAACACACAACACACACTACACACACTATACACACACAACACACACTATACACACAACACACATACACACTACACACACTATATACACAACACACTACACACACTATACACACACAACACACACAACACATACATACAACACACTACACACAGTATACACACAACACACATACACACAACACACATACACACAACACACACTACACACACTATACACACTACACACAACACACACTATACACACAACACATACTACACACACTATCCACACACAACACACACTATACACACACTATACACACACAACACACATACACACTACACACACTATACACACACAACACACACTATACACACAACACACACTATACACACAACACACACTACACACACAACACACACTACACACACTATACAC